GCTCCCCCTTCGCTCTCTTATCTCCATAGCCAGGTAGGACTGAAGTCCTGGAATTTGGAATCTTTCCATTTTTCTTCACCCTCTCTTATAGCACCCTAGTCAGGGCCACTGCCACCTCTCTCCTGGATGAGCACAGCAGCTTCCCTAACTGCTCACTGTGCATCCACCTTAGTCTCCTTCTCCATTTTCCACACAGCATGACAGAAAAATACTTTAGAAACACAAAGTTGACCATGTTAATTCCCTGCTGAAATCCTTTCAGTGGTTTCTTATTGTACTGAGGAGCAAAAGTGAAACCCTTGCTGTGGCCTGCAAACACGTCTGATCTGACCCCAGGTATAACTCTTGAAGTTGATTAGATGCCGTTATCATCTTCATAACTGTGCTGGTCCAGACACACTGGCTTCTTTCCAGTTCCCCCAAAACGTCAACCTCTCCCCACAGCACAGCCTTCTCTCCTGCTGTTCTTCCAACCTGTCACCTAGATAACTCCTACTCATTGCACAGACTCTAACTCACGTGTCACTCACCTGACCCCTGACTACAATTCATCTCCCTTCTAAAGGCTCTCAGACAACCCTGAACCCTTTTAAACACTTAATCACTTTTAATAATGTAACTACTTCTATGCTTTTTTCTTTTTTGCCTTTATTCCCATGTTCTCCCACAACTTAAACTCCACAAGACTCCCACAACCACACAAAGCCAGGCACATAGATACACACTATAAACACATACTGAGTAAACTAGTGAACAGGAAGCAGAAAACTCTCTAACATGTCATTTTCTCACTGTCATTCTCTTTCCTGCCTCCTTTCACACGCACCCTCCTTCCCGGAATATGCATCTTTATTTCAGCTTTTTTCCTAACGAATATATTTATATAGACTCAATTTTAGATTTAAAATTTTCATTGCTTTTATCTTTCACTGTTAAAATCATCCAAGTAATATTTTTAAGACCTTATGTTATGACAATCACTATAACAATGTAGCTTATAGTGGGTCACAATATCAAAACACACTCACTAGTTTTCACAATCTCATAATAAAAATATGATTTACTTCAAGACAATAAGAATACTGCAACTTTTAAGAAGGTCTTGCTTGTGCAGAACTAAAACTAAAGAGTTTTTTTTTCTAATGAAATTGACTAGTTACTAGATGACCATTTCTTAGACCCCAAATAAAATGTCACTTATAACTGTACTGTTTACATTCAGCATAAATTTTAAGAATCTTACAGGAAATTGCAAACCCATTTCTGTTGAACCTTTGTGCAACTCGTGAGTCTTTATGCCAAAGGAAAGAGTAGACTCCAAAAGAAAAGAACAGGCGTCTTCTCATTGAGGCAATGCCCATCATGCTATGACAGAACATCAGCTATTATGCTGGCGCGTTATCCCTTTAGACAATGATGTCATAACGTGATTTGCAGCATTATTAATCCTCTGAAGCAGGGGTGTGGCAGGTGGCAGCGTCATTTGCTAAATGAGAATATAATTTATAAAAGGGATATTGCAAAAATGAATGCTTTTGTGACTGTATAGTTGCAATTTCCCAAACCTCAACTCTGATGATTCTTCTATTTCTTTTTCTCTGTCAGAAAAAAGCATTTTCCCAGCTCCGTGTTTCAGGCCTCTACCCTTCTGCTTACTGGTTTGGACAGGCACTGGTGGATATTCCCCTGTACTTCTTGATTCTCCTTCTAATGCAAATAATGGATTACATTTATAGCCCTGATGAGATTATATATATAATTCAAAGCCTCTTAATTCAGGTGAGTGGTAAAAAGTACAAAATAGTTTTGTTAGACCATTTTTGCATGCATGGAGTAGCATTGTTAATCTTAAACCGAAGAACTTCAAATTACCGGTGCTATCACATACTTTTGGAAAGTTGAGGTGTAAATATGAATACTTTCCTAAATAGTATTGAACTTATCCAACCTTACTATTTCTATTTTCAGATCCTGTGTAGTATTGGATATGTCTCTTCTCTTGTCTTCTTGATGTATGTGATTTCATTCATTTTTCGCAATGGGAGAAAAAATAGAGGCATTTGGTCACTTTTCTTCTTAATTGTAAGTATGCATCCAGTGCATATTATTTTATTTTACAAACATTTTGAATAAATCCAAGAACCTTAATCTTTGTGCTACACGGAATGGCAAATTAATATTGCTCTCTGGAAAATTCTAATTATTCTAAGATAATAATAGACATATATAAAATCTACTGTATGTATGAGTGTATACCATCTGTAAACTATGACCCCTCAGACATGTCTTCAGGTGTCACCTCTCCCCTGAGCTAGAGACTTCTACCTCTAACAGTTCACTTATAACTTCACTTGAAAAAGACTGCAGTGATCACATAGCTGAACTAAGTAACTGTCCTCTCGATCCTATTCTTCCTTGTCTCTTAATAGATTACATTATTGCAGCAGAATTGCAATTGCTCAAACCTAAAATCTGGAAACATCCTTGATTCTTCTCTCTCTGTCTCTTCCCACATTCAGTCCATATGCACATGTGTTTTAGACTCGACACATTTCCCAGTCTGTTTGGTGTGTCTCAACTTCACTGCTACATCCAGCGTCTAAGTTTTCATCATCTTTCATCTGGAGAATCGCAACCGATCTGTAACTGGTCTCTCATTTTCTTCTCTTGCCTCCTGTAAACGATTCTCTGTATAATAACCAAAGTGATCTTTGAAAAATAAATTTTGATTGAAAAGTATAACCTACATATGGCAAAGTAGGCATATTTCAAGCACAACAAAATTTTTAAACTGAGCACTTCCACAAAACCCTCACACAGACCAAGCAATAGAACATTACTAGAACCCTAGAAGCCCTCTATTCCCATCTAGACCCCCTCCTTACAAGAAATCATTATCCTTGGTTATAAAACCACAGATTCGTTTAGCCAGTTTCTGAACTTAATATAAAATCATGTAGAATGTATAATTTTGTATCTGCTTCTAATTTACAACATGCTGTTTAGAGTTATCCATTCTGTTGTATCTGATTAACTACCACAAAGTTAGTTCTTTTCCATTGCTGATGTATTCTATTGATGAACATGCTATAATTTATCAATCCATTGTTTATATACTTTCAAGTGGCTTCCTATTTTGAACTTTTGTGAATAACACTGCCATGAACTTTCTTGTATGTTTTTGGTTCACACACATATATATATTTTGAGGTGTAAACCTAGCAGTTAAATTGTTAGGTCACAAAGTATTCGTATGTCCAACTTTAGTAGATCTTGACAAAGTTTTTCAAAGTAGTTGTACTACCAGTACGATATGAGAATTCCAGTGGAGTAAATGCAAATTATAAAATAAGAAGGAAAGGCAATGATTTTAAATTGGGTTAAAAAATAAAATTCAGCGATATATTGTTTAAAATAGACACATCTAAGTCATGATCATAGCTCTGTTCATAATAGCCAAGACATGGAACCAACCTAAATGTCCATCAGCAGATGACTGGATAAGAAAAATGTGGCATATATACACCACGGAATACTACTCTGTCATAAAAAAGAATGAAATCTCCCATTTGCAACAGCATGGGTGAACTTGGAGAAACTTATGTTGAGTGAAACAAGCAAAGCACAGAGGGATCACTCATAAGTGGTAGCTAAGAGAGAAAGAAGGAAGGAAAGAAAGACCACAGTAGTGAGTTGGACTTGCAGAGCGAGAGAACATACCTGGGGATACAAAGTGGAGCAGGGAAAGGGGGATGGGGAGGGAGGTCAGGGATAATTAGGGGGATAACTGGGTGGGGGACACAGGGTATAATCATAACTTGTAGTGATGGTTATGCTGCCGGTATGGATCTGGCCATCACATCTTAGACATGAGTGGTGATAATTTGCTTTGCACCACATGAATATTCATAACCAATAAAAAATTAAAAAAATAAGTCATGGGCAGTGACTTAACAGGCTAGTTTTTTTTAATGGAGGAAATTAAAGGTAGCTGCTCAAATAAAAGATAAAGTAGAATTCAAGACCAAAAGTCTTAAATAAGAAAAAGAATATATTTAAAAAATGTAAAATCCACAAAGAAGATGAAAGACTCACATTTTGTATAGAAAATGATACACACAGCAAAATACGTATCACAATAATCTCTTTTTTTTTTAATTTTTATTTTGTCAATATACAATGTATATGATTATTATGGCCCTTCACCGACACCTCCCGCCCTCCTCCCTCTCTCCCCTCCCCCCCAAGAATGTCCTTTCCGTTTGCTTGTTGTAACAACTTCAAAAAAAAGTATAGTTGTTGTATCTTCTTCCCCACCCCCCCACCCCCCGGTTTTTTTTGTGTATGTTTGTGGGTAAATTAATTTGTTTATTTTTTAGCTC